CCCAGATTCATCTGAGTGGTAGAAAATTGAAATGTTACTAAAGAAACAGTCCTCATATGTCTTAAAAATACGATTGTATTAAAAATATCTTAAAAATATCTTAAAAACTATATCCTTAAAAAACTTAAAAATAGTTATGAATATAAATATATATATGTATACAAATATTATAAATATACAAATGATAATAATAACATAATATAAAAATAAAAGTAAAAGAAATAGAATACAACATTGGTATCTCGGAACCACGGAATCCACCGCTATCCAAGACCAAAAGTCATAACCAACACTAATCCATACTAACATATGTCAATACGTAAATAAAAAATACCTAATAAATTATAACAAATTCAAATAAATTGAATAATAAATCATTCAATGGGCCGGCAAAACCTTAAAATATATACAAAAAGAGATGTTTTTGTTCAACAGGCGAATAGGTATTACATTTGCCAAATTCTCTATTTAAACTTTTTAAACAAATTTATTTTAACATATTTAATACACTAATTTTTACATTATTATTTAGTTAAGTAAATTAAAATAAAAATTTTGAAAAATAAATTATAGTTCTATATATATAAATAAATTAGAAAAAAATTTTTAATAATTACTAAGTATTCGATTATTTTATAAATTTAATATTAAATCAAAAAAAACAAAACAACCATATTTTCAAAACTGAATTACAAATCATAATCGTCAAGTGGTTCGTCCTTTATCCATAGCCCCAACTCATCCGTTCTTATAATACCAGCAAATTCGTCGTCAGAATTGTTGTTGTCAGATGGTGGTTGTGGTGCATTTTGTCTTAAGAGGCTATGACTAAAATTATTAATTGCTCTAGCATTATTTGCATGTACCGTAAAAATTGGTAGAGTCGATTTTTGAATAATTGCCATAGCAGTCGTAGCACCATCTACTCTTTCCGAAACTGTGTATGATACTCTTGGTGCGAGTCTGGCTCCTGGTCCTATTGGTACTGAATAAGATTTATTTTCAACTGTTTTCTTTTTAAATTTTTTGCTTTGTGGACTTTCAATTACAGAGTCATTGAAGTCTCTACAGTCATCTAAAGTCGTAACTATAGCTTTAAAAATATTTTGAATTAACACGATACGCTGTCGTTTATTTACTGTTTTTATATATGGTTTATATATATCGAAATATGTGTCTTCTTTCGATCTATTCGTATCAAATTGTAAAGATTTCTCACACATAATTGGCTTAAATGTATTTAATTGTAATTGTGTTCGCTTTGCAAAGCTTGTATCGATTTGAACGTTTGCAAACTTAGCCGGTGGTATTTCTTCGCCTTCAGATTATAAAGCTTGAAGATCTGCATTAGTTTTTGTGTTTGAATGATCTTCATTTAAAAATGAAGGCCCGTCAATTATTTTCAGTTTTCTTGGCATCTTTTTTTTTTTTTGTGGCATCTTCATTATCAAATCGTTCTATATAATCGATATCATTATTTGTTTGTGCATGAGGAACTAATAATTCAACAAGATCAGCTAAATAATTCTCCTTATACGAGTTGACGTACGTTTCGATTTCGACCGAATTTTACAAATATTGACTGAAATAATGAAAATAACAATATTAATGAAATTCAATACATAATATAAATAAAACTAAAATATGTAAAGGAAATTGACGTCTTTTAGTCTTTTTAACATTTATTAAAATAAAACATGAAAAGAATTGAAGTAAACCGGAATATATGTACATAAACAAACTATTTTAATTTCACTTAATAATTAATTTAACAAACTTACTTAACACTGTATAACTCTCATTTGTGAGTGAATACGATATTGGCATAAGCCTTATTTCTGAGTGACTGAGTGACAGTAGAATAGATATATCAAAAAATGCTGACTTAAAATCAAGTTCGTGAAGAAATGAGTGGAATTGAGTGGAAGATAAATCAGTTTAAAGGAGCTTTGTTAAATGAATCGGAAAAGTGTTAAAAGTGTTATGGCTTGACAAACTCCTTCTTACTGTGCGAAAGTAATCTGCCCAATATGGAGAGAAATATTATTAATTGGTGGATCGAATGGAACTAACAGAAAAGAACAACTTTCTATGAAAAATTATAACACAAAATCAAAAACAACTTCTTTTGAACTATCAACGAAATGAAGTATGTTGGTCACGGCACTCTGCTATGCAAAAACCTTACGTACACAGAGTTAATATCCAACCCAATTCATATTTACAACTAAAAACTTAAAGTTTTTTGTGGAAGAAGACTGAAGTATGTAGTCACATTATATATTTGCTCTTAGAACAGCTCCAATAAGAAATGTAAGTGAAACATGGAAGAATTGAGAAACACCCTAAGAATACATCCTAATAAAATAAACGTAAGAGACTTTCTCTTGCCTTCAATGGCAAGGTTGTACAACACCAACAACTACAGAAGATTAACATAAATAGTTAATGACCATAAATTCACATATTATTTTTAAGATATATAAGAAAATTTGATCCTGGCTTTCAGATGACATCATTTTCTGCAACAAAAATCTGTCAAAATAATGACAATCACGATTTCAACAGTACTTTCGAAATGCAATGGCATTTATATCATTGACATTGAGATACTCCTACTTCCAAAGTCAAATAAAAATAGAAAGTTCTTGCCAATTTATTTGAGGGGAAACGAAGAACAGCAAGTTAATGTTTGTAGAAAGGGCCATTGTTAGATTTGAAAAATTTTATTGAATGCAAAAGGTCGATTAACTCAGACTTTCCAAAACGCTTCGGAAAGACAGCAAAACGATAATTAAATGGTCGCAATCGTATTGTCGTGAATGTTGTGTACAACTACTTAGAAAAAGAAGTTGGTGCAAACATTTTAGTTCAATTGGTGTATATATTGGTGAACACAACACAAAAATTGCAGATTATCCTAAAAATGTTCAATATGGCAACAAAATTTGGCAAATCTAGAGTAAATTTAGATTAAGTCCAAATTCAACAGATACAAACGCCATTAGATAGAACACTCAAAGACTTAACTGAAAATGATGCACTATTCGGAGATGCATCAATTTTGCTTTAAGATGATTTTCAACAAACTGACAGCAACACCACGTCCGACATTCATAGATGAAAAAACAAAACTACAAATATAGTTAGCCTTACGTTAAATGGAAACCTTTGTTGTAACTGAAATTCACTTTGTATGTCTAAAACACATACATAAAATCGGTTCAGAGCTGGTTCGAAAGGGGTTCAGGACAACATCTTAGAGATATAGTTATGCATAAGTTTAAGGTGAAGCATTAGTTTATTTATACGCACATGAAAACGCAACCGTGGATCGACCAGTGTATAATAAACGAACTTTATTAATAATAAATAAAGGACAATTAAATAAATAACATAAAGCATGCTAATATGAAACTGTCTTCCACTTAAGAACTGCAATATAAATACTCAAGAACACTGAAGGAAGTACTATAGTTCAGACGTTTTTCTAAAGTTTTTACATAATTTTAGGCGAGTTTTCATAGAAATTGCCATTATTCGCATGTTTCACTTAAATTTCAGATTGCAGCTGCCCTAATTGCACATATGTGGAATGTGAATGCACCCAACTCCCGTAAGAAACATTAAATTAGAATGTTAAAAGTATAAAACATTACTCAGCCAGAACTCACTGCTCCATGTTAAATCCATGTTTTTTTTCTAATATAATACAGTGATTGTCAAGATGGTCAAATCCACGTGTGAAGATAACCAACTATTTAAGTAAATAAAAACAAATACAATTGCTACAGATAAACATGGTGGTGGCGGTGTGCTTTTACATTATATACTGTGTGTTTGTAATTGTTATATCATAATTTTTTAATATCGTTTAATTAACAATTTTATTCATAATATGTTATTCTAAATTAGAAATAAAACTGGTAAAAAAAGAAAGACTTATAGTGTTAATTTATGAGGAATTGAAACAAATTTTGGTTCGTTGAGTTGGCTGTTCGTTAAATCGCCAAAATGTCCGGCTAAAAACAATTGTAGGCTCTAATAGGGTTACAGGGGTTTATTATGAATGTGCGTAGAGGTAGAGTTGAAATGCGTTAAACAAATTATTCATATAATGAATTAGACAAGACTGAAGGACATGTAGGAATACTGGGGCGAAATGAAAGTAATTTATGGATAAAGAATGGTAAAGGTGTCATATTCTCTGTTTGATCTAATTATTCCTGTGCATGTGTGTAAAAATTTTTAATGGCACGAAAATTCTTTTTTTGATTGTTATCTGTAGCATTTTCTCAGTTACCAAGAACCCCATCCCAAAATCGGCGAGCATACCGGGCTAGCCATTGTGCCATGAGCGAAATCTGAAAGCGTCAATGTACCAACAGGCAGACACAATATATAGAAAACATGCACAAACATTTATTTTATGACAAGATATTTGTGTAGGTTGAGCCTAGTACTAACAACCATATCTTACGAAAAATCAACATAAAACTCCATATAAAAAAGCTTTCTACAATGTTAAAGTTTTTCAAGACATCTTTATTATTGGAGTTTTATTAATTTTTCGCACATAACGGTTATTAGTACTATGGCTAGCTTGAAAAAGCAAATTTGATATTTCATATTATTAACTGAGAAATGTTATTTCATTATTTTGTGAATTGTAAATATTTTGCACGCATCCTTTACACTTAATGTATCAAAATATAAAAATCAAATACTCAAAAATCCTTCGACTAATTGACTATGTTACGGACATAAATACAGTGGCAAAAAATTCTTTGAAAACATATTTTCAGTTCAATTTAGTTCAACTCACACAAAGTATTATCAGTAGTTCAGATCAGATCTGTTCCATGGGTTACCCCAAGTAGAACTTGAGTAAAATCCAAATAACGTATTAACTGAAGCACCAATCAAATGAGATGTCATATTACACTAAATTCCATTTCAAGCTTTTCATAAACAAAACAATTAAAATTACAAGTTCACGTTAAAGATATGGAAAAGTTTTAAACATTCTTACTTTATTAAGTAATTAATTAATTTAATAGTTATTGAATTCAATTTCAAAACGGAACATCTGATTTATATATTAACACAAATTGTGGATAAATAGTCAAGGTGTTGACTTATATTATATAAATAAAAATGACTATAACCGCCTCATTGCACGCATCTCGAGATCATAGATGATATTCGAGACGGTCAGTTTAGCTTCCACTGCCAAATATCTGGGTAGCCTTTTGACAGTTTCGCTTACACTTCTAAAAAATAAGTCATATGTATTTCTAGTTGATACGAGTGTATCCGATTCTGATTCGTCTTCATCATTGTTTGATTGCGTGTCTTCAGCGTATTTTGCACGTTTAGTGTTCATATTTTTTTTTGTACGATGCACACGTTTTGTTTGGTACACATTCTCTTCGCATTCCTCAATTCTTTGAGAACTAAATACAAAAGAGTTTATTCAATTAATTAAATTAATGCAATTTGCCTTACTCTAAGTTAATATCATATAAAATACAAAGTATGCTAGAAAAACATGCTAACATCTTACCTTTCCACGTAATTTTTATATATGTTCGTTCTGTATTCTCCATGAGCAATTTTTTCATGTAACTTCAACTTAGTTTCAGACCAAGGGAGAGTAATATTCTTATTACAAACTTTGCAAAATGCCATCAATGCATTTTGACCGTCATAAGAAACCCAATCATACTTCTTTCGTAACTCGTCACTAATACACGAATAAATTTTACTATTAATTATGAACAAAGTCTCATTCTTTATTTTTTCTGCAGTTTCACTAAAATTGTGGAAAAATATTATTTTAAAAGGAATGACTTATACTATTGAAACACGTACTTTACTATCGATTGATCCTTGTGTATTAATGTTAGAAATTTCGTATGATTACATCCTCTAGTGTGATGTTTAAAATAAATTGATTTTATGTAAATATCACAGAGCACACAATAACTCTGTTCTTTAAAATTAGTTAGAGTTAACAACCAATTACTCCTAAAATTTAGTTAGTATTCAAAAGTGGATTTGTTAAAAAAGTTAAAGTATTACATAGTAAAGATGCCATTCTCCTCTCCCGATCCATTCAGTTTAACTGCGTCTTTGTGTGCTTGGGATCTTTGGTGGCGTTCTCGCAAGTGAATATACTTGCAATTTATTTTAATTAAGCAAAACTTGCACATACCAATTGTTCCTTCAACTCGTTCGAGCCAGTAATAACTTTTTAACCACTGATACCAAATGAAATCTAGAAACTCATTAAAATTGAACAACTCATTTCTCATTTTATTAGAGGCTTCATCATTAGATTCAATTTCTCTCTTTATGTGCATATTTGAGCTATAAAAAAAAATCCCATATAGTTAAAATATATGATTGTTTTAACAAATAATTAATTCACTTATTTAGTTCTTTATATTCCATAAACTCCAATTGATATGATGAAAATTCCTTATGTAAAATTGATTTGCTGTGGCGTTTAAGCCTTTTTAGACAAATTTTTACATCACAACATACACAATAGTAACCTTTTTCTTCATCTCTTGCAATCCATTTATATTTTCTGCAAGCAGAAGTCCAATTTTCACAATTCAAATACTCCCTTCTACCCCAATATTTCTTGTAAACACAACCGGAGAATTTTGGATTTTTGAAGTCTCCAATTTGAATTATGCTTGTTGGATTTATTTTTATTGTGTTATCCATTCTGAATTTGCTAATATTCCAATTATATTCCAATTAAGAATATTTATAAAACATGTCCACTTCCGCAATGACGCTGAGCTCGCAAAAAATTTCACTCAAATGTCTTACTATGGTTACCAGATATTGACAGATATTGATAGATATTGCCAGATATTGCTAGATATTGCTAGATATTGCCAGATATTCTAAATATCTGGTCAACACTTATCAAAGTCATTTGAAAGTGGGATAATAATTATTTACAACTAATAACGTAGCCATAATTGAAAGCAAATTTTTTGGCAATAAAGCCTCTGTCATATCAACACAAACAATCTGTTAAACTCAAAATATTAAGAAAAATAGTTAATATAGTTAATAGATTCCAATTGCATTTAAAGAAAATCTTTAAAAATTGTTTTATTGGCATTTATTGAATGTACCAATATTTAAATTTCTCCATATCAGATGTTTTTACAGTAAAAACTTTTTGCAAAGAAATACGTAAGACTTAAAAGATCTTAGAAAAATATTCATATATAGTTTTAGGTTTAAAATTTAGTAATCTAAAAAATATTTTTTTTTATAAGAGAATGAAATAATTAAATCTACTCTTATCATATTTGTAAGAATTATTAATATAAACAAAGAACATATGACAAAATGGTGAATTATTCATACACTTAGCAAGTTAAAAGCACGTTAACCAGTTAAATTTTTCGATGTGCTTAGATCTTATTGCTGATTGAGTTAATATTTATGAAATGAATTGAATCGCTTTAAGTTAAGGGAAGCAATTTCTATCAGTGCCAAAGTAAACAAAGTGGAAGCGATGAAAGTCTATTAAGTATTGATATACGATATAAACGTAAGAGGTATTATATTTAAGAAAATATACAGTTTACTACAAAGTTATTAAACATTCGATTAAATTTAATTAGTAGGGAACTCTATAAGAAAAACCTTTATCAGATTGAAATCGGTCATAAATGATCGAATTTTTAATTATTGAACGGATATATTGAGCTTAAAAATAGTGTAAAATATGTATGGAATACCAAAGAATTGTTTCTAATTATTGATTGTTTTAATCATGCTAAATATATATAATAATTGTTCATTTTTGTTTAAAGCTCTTGTTGTTTTATATAAACGCGAAAACATAATGTAGATATACATGTGGCGAATCGGACACACATACTTCAGCGCAGTGGCGACGCGTGCCCTATCTGGAAGGGTGTGCGGCCCTTCTATAAAGTTGTTTTTACATGTACCACTTAAATGAACGTATATGAGATGTTTTATTAATAATAACTATATTTTATTAGGCAACAATATATTCGCAGTATTATATTAACAATTCATTAACAAAATAACATATTAAACAAATTAAATTAATAATTTATATATAAGTTTGATTGGCGGCATCCTGTTATGTTGTTAGAATTATGGAAACGAAAGTTTATTTAAAATTTTTGAAGTAAACCAGAACGAAAATACTGAACGAACTTAACATTTTGATCTAAATTTATTACCATTAACACCCCAAACATACTACAATGGTCGTGAAAGAGTAGGTACCGCAGAACACGTTTTGAGAACTGCAAACCGTTCATCCAATCATCAGACAAGGATCCGATTGTGCATTTATTGAATTTGTTAAAAGAAATTATGATATAGACAATAGACAAGCAAGCCTTCAATTGCTTGAAAGAAGAAAGACCAATATTGTTACAGAGGTAACTTTAAATCTTCTTACTCCTATGCTCTGCAAATTGACAGATATTATCAAACAAAAATTAGTATCAACTCATTATGAAAAATATGTATTTTGTCTTAAGTATAACTTTTGAAACGCTGACTGTGTCAATATTTTCTCAAAGTAAATTTGTTTTTTTTTAATTCTGCGTGAACACAATTAATTATCGGAGGTATACTAATAAACTATATAAATAATCAATTAGCTATCACAAGTTATTGTTTGATTGAGATTGTGTTTGTGTTTGTGTTTGTGTTTGTGATTGTCATGTGAAAAGTTTGCAATTTTAAATCCAATTAAATCGGGGATCAAGCAACCTCCAAATATAGTTTCACAAACTTATAAATATGCAATTTAATTTTTAACTTACCTCATGTTTATGTTCTTCACTTATATCAAAGGATTTTTGCATTTCAAAAACAATAAAAATAAACTTTAATTTCAAAGGTGTTGGTTTGAAAACCACCAACTGCTGATGCGTTTTTCCATTTAAACATTTGCAATAAATATTTTTCATTTTTTCATTTTTTTAGAAAGCATCCTGTCTTGAACAAACAATCCATGTAAAATATTGTTTTTTGAAGGTTTTTTATTCATGAACGCATACACTTATTGCATAGTATTGAAGACCAGTAACCAACCACAATTATTGCTTAATTACTAATAAGAAATCCATACCCGTTTCTTAGAATTCAACTGCTATTGCAGCCCAAGCCTCCTCATTCCGTGCTTTTGTTATAAACTTTATGTCCGTGATCGTACACGACAGCTAACTTTCGAACCGAACTTTCGACCGACAAAGTATTGCAATTTATTCCTATTTGTGATATTTTCTAATACTTTCACTTCAAATAATAAACTATGTTACAGCAAATTGAGTTCCTACACAGCTCTTATAAAGCGTCTTTGCCTGACGCTTTGCAGCAAATTGCTGAACTATAGTTGACATTTACCAGTGATGCAGTGATGGAAAACGCAAAAACAAGAAAGTGCACATTGCTGAATCAAGTTCACACAAATGACATTATTTACACAAATGAATATGTGAAACATAAACAAAACACAAATAAATTTATATATTATTTGTACGTATGTATAGAAATTAATACTGTATTATAAATATTTGAACGCTTTTTAATAGTGTTCAATAAATATAAATCATAAAAAAATTTATTGTAATGGCGCTTCAATTGGTAAATCTGGTGTTACTTTTTTAATCGAGATTCACTCTTGGTTTAAGGTTTAATTTTCATTTTTGATTAGTTAATCTGCATAACACTCGAGATTAATGCGCAGCACTCGAGATTAACTCGAATATGACAGTCTAGATATTTTGCCAGAGTAGCACGATTACCCCGAAATTAACAGCTGTTTAATGTGACTTGACAAATAATGTATGATGTGATCGATATATGTATTTATGAAAAATAAAAATGTCTACTAACACTACTTAAAAATATGTTAGAATACCTTAAAAATGTTCGATTGAACAACATTTGACAGATCTAGAGTAAATCTTGATTGAATCCAGACTTTCCAATCGGATATGTATACGTCATATGTTAAGTTTACCAATTGAGAGTTAATACTAATTTAGAAACATGGTACGTTAAAACAAATGTAATAGTTTTTTATTATTAAAACTCGCAAATTGTACAATTTTCACGGATCATAATCAGACTTCAACTCAAAGTCCTATGTTATGGAGTATTACACTACTTTAGTAGTGCTACTTTTGTACTTTAGTACTTTAGTAGTGTAATAGTAGTGGCCTTTGACACATTTTAATTCTCAATGTTAATTTTTGTATAGTTTTAAGCCAAAATACATATATGAAGCATTTATTTATAATATAACAATATAAATATAGATAAAATACAATAAAATACATATTCATAGAATGTGGAATATAAAAATGTATATAAATACAAAGAAACTAATGCTATTATTATTAATAACAATAATTCCAACATAACAATTCTAATAGAATGCTCTGTACTTTTAAACTATTAATAAATAAATACACATATTATGGATATATACTTTAAATTGTGGTATATAATTTAAATAAATCAATACATCTACTAAAATGGTTTTTAATAAAAACGTTTCTAATGTATCTAAATTTATATAATTGTTTATCTGGCGAAATTTCTTGCCGACTTTCACTCGTTCCGGTACTGTTATATCTGATTATTCTTGGTTGTCCACTTAAGATACAATACTACAAATTGTTATATAGTAATAAGTTATGTAAATAAAATACGTAATTTTACAGTAATTTATTAGACATATCAAGAATTAACTTTTTCAGGTACATACATACATTTATTTAAAATTGTAATTGAATAATGATAATGAACATATTTTGAATTTCGTGAATGCAAAATATTCTATAACCACACAACATTAATATCTACTCATTTTTAAGACTACAATAAAGCATTTTAAATTTTTTGCAACCAATGCAACACGCAATTAAAGCGGTTAATGTGAAAATATTATTGTGAAATATTTAATTTCTAATTGTGTATAATTAAATTTAAATTTAAATTTTATTTTATTATATGTGATTCATATTTGCTGTCTCTTTTTTTATTTTATTTTGTTACCCTGTTCGTAGGTCTGTTCCACGAGCTACTTGTAGTAAAACTCAAGTAAAACACAAGTAAAGTACAAACAAAGAGCGTAACACAAATAAAGTGCCAAATTACGTTCCTTACACAGAGTTTCTTTGAACAGCTTTGAGTAAAATTTGGCGAGACCACCAGTGGCGCGCAAATAAACCATACAAAAATTTAAGTTCAAACCAAAACAGCTGATTCACACATCAACACAAATTTTACTTGAAATAAAATGTATAAGTAACATAAAGTCTGTGTAGCTTTTTCAAATTTTGACATGAATCCCAGGAGGGTCTGTGACTAGTTCTGAACTAGTGAATTCAATAGTTCCAAGGTGAATTGTACTAGTCGCTTCATAATCCACTTTACGTGGGCTCAACTGGTGGATTTCACATTGAGTTGTCATTGTCGGTGTGAATTGTCCCCGTATGATATACCTCGGAACTGGTCTTTGTACTAGTTCATAATGGGTCGAATGGTGTAAATAGTACCCGCACTGTACACTGCAGCAGTAATGTATTAACTAGTTCTTGATTTGAGAAATAATAAATAAAACGTGCATTTTATATATTATTATATATATATAGATAAAGTAGTGTGGTAGAGGACCTACCTACCTGGTAGGGGAGATAAGGCAGTGAAATAAAAGCACAGATTGATATGAGAGCAAAGATTGAAATGAAAGCTAGTTAAGAAGAAAAGAAAGATATAAAAGGAGAGAAGAAGAAAAATAGAAGTTTAATAAGTTTGATAAGTTTGCAAAGTTAAGGTAAAACATAAATTCATAAAGACTGCATTTTATTTTTGACTAAAGTAGGTCTTTGTTTAATAAAAGTTTACAGTTTAATAAAAATATCAAGAAACATTGCGTTTTGTTGTATAATTACATAATAATTACATATATAATTATTTTAATATATGTGCATATATATATTAAATATATTTATAATAATAAATCACTTTCTAGCTGATTGCACTGTAGTTAAATCAAACCGTCTAGGAATTTAACTGATGATCTATAGATGATGTTGCAACCTTATCTTTAATAAGAAAATAAATATGATATATATGCTATTATTTTAACTGAATTAAGCACTTTCATGGAGTTTGGACACATTCATTTGTATTTTTTGCAGCCTTTTTCCAAACTGCATATTTTCTATTTCTTAAATTTATAAAACGTTTTATTCTAGTACTGAACCATGGGCAAGAAACATTATTGATGGCAATAGTATGAAAATGTGACGAAGGCTAAGCAATTTCCTATTAAATACATCTAACTTTTGATCAGCTGAAATAACATACCAAACTCACTGAATCAATTGATTTATAATTCCTCACTGAATCAATTGATTTATAATTCCAAAAAGAAAATCTATTTGAGATAGAGTTTTTAGTTTTTTTAAAGTCTAGCGTAATAAATAGTAGGTCATGATCTGAAACAAATGAAGTCTGATCAAACAGCAATATTTTCCTTAAATCAGAAACTGTAATTATGTCCAGAAAACTAGGCTTAACATTATTGGCATATCTAGTAGGAATGTTACTATTAACGATACTTAAGCCCGACACAGCAATAAGATCATTTAAACGGGAAACGTTACCACAGTTTGAGAGAAGATCATTATTAAAATCACCAAGGACTGCTAGGAAGCCGAAATTAAGCGCGATAGTTTGCAGTGAATCAGAAAAGGGATCGCAACTGAAGCGATTGTGTGAATTATACACACACCCCACCAACATTTTATGAAAACCAACATTGATGCTTATGATAACGAATTCAATGTCAGACTCACCAGACACCAGACACACATACCAAATTACTTTTCAAATAAGACTTGTAATAAATTGCAACCTCACCTCCTTTCTTTTGCTTCCTATCATGGCGGTATAAAATATAAATGTTCAGTGAAAGATATAAACTACTGATGTCACTATTAAATCAAGTTTTCGACACGCATATGACATCAACATCAGAGTTTTCAAAAACAGTCTTAATGTAGTCAAATTTTAGATCAGTTAGGTTTCTAGCATTAAAATGTACCATATTTAGACCGCAATTTAGTTTACTAAATATATTTATCAAGGTTTTGTGGTCCATCAAAGTTGATAATCAGTTCTTTCAGCTTCCAGATCCCTGGAATCATGGTCTATGTTGAGATCTTTCAGATGTAGATTTTTTTTGGCTTTGGCACAGTTCACACATCTGTTGAAGCTGTTCTTACATTCTTTGTATATGTGTTCAACTTTACCGCATTTTGCACATACATGTTCACTTT